ACAAAGAAGCACAAAAGTAGCACAACAAGACCCCAAATGACCACAAAGACTCAGTTTGTGTCTCTTTGTCTTTGTGGAAACAGAACTGAGACAGTAAACGTGTCGGAATAACCAAAAGCAGAACCTGAATGAGGCTGACAAGCTCAGACTGTTGATAGAAAAAGGGACGTTTGTGTGTTCACAGAAGCAGGGAAAGTTTCCAGCATGAAATCTGTACAATAAACAGACTGGAGCCACGGCGGCGTTTGTTTTATCAACTCTGTCTCTCTTGTAAACAGCATGAAGTGAAGTCAGCAGCAGCAGCACGCTGTTCAATCTGTTGCAGCGATTACATTTCACACATGCATGCTCTGATTGGTCGCCTGCAGGTCAGACAGGTGCAGGGAACAACTGGGCTAAAGGCCACTACACCGAGGGGGCGGAGCTGGTGGACTCGGTGCTGGACGTGGTGAGGAAGGAGTGCGAGCACTGCGACTGTCTGCAGGTAAACTCTGGGTTTCAGATTCACTGTTTGGCTTTAACCCATTCAGTGTTTCCTCTGTTAACAGCTGAAGGCAGCATAACTCCCTTGACTGTGTTTCTAAAAGATGAACAAACAACCAGGTTTGTGATCATTTAATCAGGAGTTTGTACCACAAAGCTCACACAGGATGAATCCTGCTGACTGCAGTGATCAGCGCTCTTACTACGGTGTCTTAAATGTCACACAAAATGACATAAACTGACCACAAACAGACACAAAAGGGCCTCAAAGTGACACAAAATGACTACAAAGAGACACAAATCAACTGCAAAAAGACATGAAATTACCACAAAAAGATGCAAAAGACCACAGAGACACAAAAAATAAAGACCAAAAAGTGACACAAATCAACCACAGAGAAACATGAAATGACCAAACAGGAACTCAAATGACCAAAGAGTGGCAAACTTCTTACACAGAGGTAGAACGTGGCCACAAAAAGAAGCAGAAAGATGACAACCAGACAAAATGACGGCAGAGAGACTTGCAATTACCACAAAAAAACTACAAAGGGAATCAAAATAAACATACAAAAGGACAAAATGATCACAAAATGACCACCAAGAGACACAAAAAGACAGAAAAGTGCACGATTTCCAAACTGCACCTTGAGCAGCACCATCAGGTCAACACATCAGTCTGCCCAATACGTTGGGTTTTGACCAAACACCTGCAGAACTCATAATATTTCCCTCCTAAACATGCTCATCGCTGCAGGGTTTCCAGCTGACTCACTCTCTGGGCGGCGGCACCGGCTCCGGTATGGGCACCCTGCTGATCAGCAAGATCCGGGAGGAATACCCCGACCGCATCATGAACACCTTCAGCGTCATGCCCTCGCCCAAGGTACGAGGAGGAAACCCGCAGCGGCCGTTTCCATCTTTAGTTTCTGTGAGTTTTGACTGTTACCTCACCGGCCTTCCTTTGGTTTCCAGGTGTCGGACACGGTGGTGGAGCCCTACAACGCCACCCTGTCGGTGCACCAGCTGGTCGAAAACACCGACGAGACCTACTGCATCGACAATGAGGCCCTGTACGACATCTGCTTCCGCACCCTTAAGCTGACGACGCCGACCTACGGTGACCTCAACCACCTGGTGTCGGCCACCATGAGCGGCGTGACCACCTCGCTCCGCTTCCCCGGACAGCTCAACGCCGATCTCCGCAAGCTGGCCGTCAACATGGTGCCCTTCCCCAGGCTGCACTTCTTCATGCCGGGCTTCGCGCCGCTGACGGCGAGGGGCAGCCAGCAGTACAGAGCGCTCACCGTCCCGGAGCTCACCCAGCAGATGTTCGACGCCAGGAACATGATGGCGGCCTGCGACCCCCGTCACGGACGCTACCTGACCGTCGCCACCGTCTTCCGTGGGCCCATGTCCATGAAGGAGGTGGACGAGCAGATGCTGAACGTCCAGAACAAGAACAGCAGCTACTTCGTGGAGTGGATCCCCAACAATGTGAAGGTGGCCGTCTGCGACATCGCTCCGCGGGGGCTCAAGATGGCCGCCACCTTCATCGGCAACAGCACGGCCATCCAGGAGCTGTTCAAGCGGATCTCGGAGCAGTTCTCGGCCATGTTCCGGCGGAAGGCCTTCCTGCACTGGTTCACGGGCGAGGGCATGGACGAGATGGAGTTCACGGAGGCGGAGAGCAACATGAACGACCTGGTGTCCGAGTACCAGCAGTACCAGGACGCCACCGCCAATGACGGCGAGGAGAACTTTGAGGACGAGGAGGACGAGATCAACGACTGAAGCTCTGAGAGAACAGAAGCCGAGGTGCTCGGAAACATTTGGACAAACAGTTGGCGGCGACATTACTTTGGTTTTAGGATTGTCTCCGCAGTAAATGACAAATTGACCACAAAGAGACACAAAATGACTTTTCTGGGTTGTTTTTATGAAGACCGTGGCTTTCCTTTTTTTTTTTCCAAAGAAGCTGTTATTCCTGTTTCTTTTAAATATACTAATAGAATATTAGACAAAGACAAATTTACCAACTAGTTAGTCCAAAGTGAAAATATGGTGAATAAATGTCTCAACGTCCAAGACAAACTTTAGCAACTGAACCATTCGTTTACCTTGATTCAATCACGCTCTGAATTTGGTTTCATTTTGAAGCTGTTTTTTTTGTAGGACAATGACTGCAGTGTCTGAACTTAGCCAAACCTTATCTCGTTTCAGGAACGCTGAGGAATACAACGTGCTCGGCGGTACACCGAAGCTGTTTGGTTAAAATAGCTTTTCCCCTTTTTGTACTGTGCTTTGGTGTGTTTGTTGTTTTCAAGCTGTGATTTCTGTACCTGTGAGCACATCTTTATTGGGTGAATAAAGGTGGAAATAAAAGCTTCCTTAAAGGCCTTTCGGTGTCACACGTGTGCCGTCTGTGTGTTCAGTGGGTTGATGCTGAAGTTCGGAGAGTGCGTCAGGACATGATGTGGCCGTGGTATCAGCATCTGGACCCGTGCTACAGATGTTTTGAAGCAGAGAGCAAACACGTTCTGTTTCGGTCCACAGCTGGATGGTCCAACCTTCCCGTGGAGGATCATCGTGGCGACTAGAGGAGGGTCTGCGGCTACCATCAGCAGAAGGAACAGCAGTTTCCCCAAAGAACGAAGGAGGAGCATCCTCGCTGTTTTGCATTGTTAATTTGTCCGTAAGGGTTGGACTGTTAATGGGAGTTAAACCGTAACGTCCTGGGGGGTTTGAGGGGAAACACATTCAACCTAAATGACGACGTGAGTTTTTCTTTTTTTCATGGCCACAACAACAGAATCGTCAGGCTCCACAGATCTGCGAATTCTTCCTCCCTAAAAATAAAATTCACGTTAGAGTGTCGCCATTTGGACAGTTTGAAATATGGTACTTGCCATTTTTGCATGACTGGACTTCCGAGGAGCATCGAAAGTGTGGCATGAGCACTGGGAAGCAGAGAACCAATGCTCAAGCAGATCACCATAACAGGGATGGCGGCAAACTTTAAATTAGGCACGCTTTGGCTTTTAAAGGCACAGTTCTAGATCAGTCCTCATATGTACTGCTGGACCTGTCTTACTGCTGCACACGAGGAGCTCAAAATTAGTCTCCTTGTGCAGCAATACACTGCTCCCAGTGCTCCTGCAGCTCTTTGAACACTTTCTGGAAGCCTGTGTCAAAATAGTGACCCTTCAACGTGAATTCTGTTTGCTCTCCGGACAAGTTTGAGGTCCACGCTGAAACTGCAGCCAAAGCAATACACCGCTCCCAGTGCTCCTTGGAACGCTCTCTGGAAGCCCTGATCTGTAAGGACGTCAAGCATTATATGCTGGATCTGATCTGCTATGTCAAGACGGCAATCCTTCAGCTTGGATTTTGTCTTGAGGAAGAGGAGGAAGTTTCAGCAGGAAAATCTAACAAGAAGGTTGGGTGGGGAGCTCCAGTTGCTGAGGCACCAGATATGCATCTATTTTCAAAATGTTTCTAGCAGGTGCAGGTTGGCCTCAGCTCCACGGTGAAATCGCAAAGTCGCACCTGCGAGTGGTCTGAACGGGACTTCCAGGAAGTTCTCAGTGTGCAGCAGGAGCATTAGAAGCAGTGTATCATTGCACAAGCAGATTATCTCAAAAGGGATGGCGGCCGAATTCAAAGCGACAGTTTTGTTTTTCTGTAGGTGCTCTACTTTGGTTCAGACTTAAACAACTCAACAAATATTTGAGGAACTGTCATGAAATTTTGTGCAGACATTTTTGGTCCCCAGAGGATAAACCCTGCTGACGTTGGCGATCCACCTCATTTAGATTCAACGACCAGCGGCGTCTGCGGTTTTTAGCGAAACCTCCAGCAACTGTATGATATATTTTCATGAACTATTTCTCAGACATTCATATTCCCCTCAGGATGCACTGCAGTAATTCTGGAGCTCCTCTGACTTTTTATTTATCCGCCACCATCAGGTCAACACTTTAATTTCCTCAATAGTTTGCTGTGATTTTTATCTAGTGCTATTAAATAAATGTCAACATATCAACACCCCGAAGATGGTGAGATGAACACGGTAAATAATAAAACGTCAACACTATCACTAGCTTTTATTCAGAACGTGCCTTTTGAAAAACTTGATGAAACGGAAAATAAAAATATGAAAAAACTTAGATATGTTTATACACTTGCCTGACGTGGGTTTTGACTTTTTTGAAAAAGAGGTAATAAACTAGGGAGATGGAAACGGCTCTTCCACTTTAATTCAGACACAGCGAACGTTTAACTCACACCACTGACCGGCAGCTTCTGTCGCCGTCTTTGTCTCTAGACTCACGAAACAGGGCTGATAGCAGCTGACACGAAAGAGTAACTACAACTGTCCTTTTCAGTTGTACTTTTACAGCACCACGTTCTGGTGACACTGAACAGGCTTGTTGTTTGCAGTTAAGTGAACCACGACTAATTCAAAATTATTATTATTATTATTATTATTATTATTATTTAAAAAAAAAATTTTTTAGTGAGATATCTACAGTTCATTAGTTCGGAAGAAAAGTCCCTGATTTTTTGTTGCACTACTGCTGGTTGCAAGTGAGTCAGGAAAGGCACCACAGTTGCATCAAAGAGTGCAAAATTTTATGTTTTTTACAGAATCTGGTTGGAGCAAAAACTACATTTTTGACAGATGTTTAAATGCGACATGTAGGATAAAGTGATTCTGATTAAATGTTGAGATTTTAAGCTCAGATTTGGGTAATATTCCAGAGGGAACCATAAATGATTAGCTCCATCAAAAAAATTGTTTTTTTAAAAAAGTGTTTTTTTTCAGTTTTACATGTTCTGGCTCTGATAAATTGTGTAGTTTTGGTGATTTTGCTGAAAGCTGCCAGTGGGTTTAGGGATTCAGAGGGTCGAACGGTAGCTCGCTGTCACCTCACCGTTCTCAGACAGAAAGAGAATCGGCCCGTTAATCTCCCTCCACCGGCGCTGTGTGTCAGAGTTGATTTCCCAGCAGTTCTGTTTGTGCAGCGGATTACACGGAGAGCGGTCAAAGACAAAAATGCTGGGCTCATGTCTGTCGGTCGGAGCTGATGTCTGTGGATCTATTCTCCGTCTGCACTCTTTGTCTCTGCAACGTTCAGCAGAGTCACGCAGCGTTGATGCGGTTAAATGACACCGACTGAGGTTCTGGATGCAGATACAACGAGGCTCGGTCTGCTCGAGTCCTCTGGCACAACCCGAAGTTATTCCAGATGTGTTGGTGCAAAAAGCAGCTGCATTTTAAAAGGCATTTGTGCCATTAAACACTGATTAAGAGGAATAAAAGTGATGCTATGCACTGTACAACGAAAAAACCTAACATTTTTTATGTCTTTTAACACTTTTTACTGGTATTTTTCTTTCAATTTAATTTGTAGTTCATTTTTGCTAATCAGCAAAAACAACAACAAAAACCTGCCACTGAAATAAAAATTATGAATCTTAAGGAATTAAATAATGGTGCATAATTTTCAAACTCTTATTTTACAGATTTTTGTTAAATTACATAAAATAACGTGCACAGAAAATAAAAACATTAATTTAAATAAAAACAGGACAAAACTGCAAAAAACGTCCACGTCAAAAATCTGTAGTTTTTTAAAAATAAATATTGATAGTTCTTTTTACCAATTTACTATTTTACCAATATTTGCTGTTATTTAAAATATTAATTGTGCATATTTAGGATGAAAATTTGTGATTTTTTTCCGCTGCTTTAGTAATATACAGAAATAACTTGGTATTTACACTAATTTACATGTTGACTGTAAAAAAAATAATAAAATAATAAAATAAAATAGGCACAAACTGCACATAATGTCCAACTGAAATCTGTATTTTTACAAACAGTAATTTGTTCTTTTACATTTGACCCTAAAATTAGTCATTTAAGTAAAAAATAATAGTTTAAAGACATTTGCTGTTGTCAGAAAAAAGAGAGAAAAGTGTATATTAAAGACTGAAAAAGGGTAAATACATTATTTTGACTGTTTCGCATATTTCCATGTTTTGTTAAATTCCAGATAATATCTAATGAAATATCATTATTTTACAGATATTTATTGTTATTTCAAATATCAGTTATGTATATTAACAATTCTTTTTTAAACTGTTACTTTTACATAATTTTTGTCTTTTGTTAAATCACGGAAAAATAAATATGAATTAGCAAATAGTCAGCAAAAGAAAGAAAGAAAAACATTAAAGATATTTGCTGCTCTTTGAAAGAAAAATGATTTCGATTAAGGATTTTAAAAAATAGCAAATAAATTGTACCTGTTATTTCAGAGGTTTTTCCTGTTCTGTTAAATTATAGGAAACAATTAAGTTCACTGTAAAAACAACAAAACTGTAAATAACATCCACATCAAAAAACTTTTTGCTTTTTAAAAAAAAAAAAAAAAAAACTTTTTTGTGATTTTCTTTTACACAACGTTTAACCATAAATTATACCACTTAACTGTATTTAAGAAACAACACAGCTCAGCAGGGCCGTGTTATTTGTGATTAACTCTGGCTCCCCCTTCTGGCAGTGAGAGTAATTACAGAAACAGGATACAACAGCCTGCACTTAAACAGCAAATGATTCAACTCTGCATCACAAGCTCTGAGTTGAACAGTTGAGTATTAAAGACGAACGCTTTGGATTTACTACAATGAAAATACAGAAGGAACTAAAGTCAGTCCACCGTTCATTTCTGAGATTTAAATCTTTCATTTTTTTCAATACTTTGTTTGTCCAGTTTATTTCTGATGACAGACTCCGTCCTTCTCAGGATGGAGGGCAACACATTTCTTCAGACTCTTTTTCCACTCTCCTCTTCTGATGTCCTGTAATTGCCCTCATTGGCCACCAGGAGGTGCTGCAACACAACTTCAGTATCTCCAGTGAATTTACCAGCCTGACTGAGTGACCTGTCAAACCTTTCACTGCCGTCGAACAGACAACACTCGTTCAACCAGCGAGGTGTGTGTGGTCCAGATGTGAAGGGACCTGAAGCTGTCTGCACAACCACGTTATGGGGACGGGTCTCCTTACGGGGACAAAACAAGTCCCCATAATGTCTATCATTAATGTGCAATAATGTGGAAAATTCATGAGGAAATGTGGAACAACATGGAAGCTAATGTGCAGTAGCATCATAGATCTGGACGTTTGTGTGTAAGTTCCTCAAGTGCAAATGAATGCATGTATTCCAATAAATTATTCCGCCTGATTTAAGCCTCGTTGTCTTTCTTGCCTCCGGCTAAACAAATTAACCCTCCAAAAAAACAGAACTTGAGGAAACATGAGGGTGAAGCCGTGCGAGGCCAGCAGCTTTTGAGAGGGTGTTTTAGTGTTTTAATAAACCTGCGAGTTAAGTAGCTGCCCCTAACGAGCGACCTCGGATAATTGGCTGCAGCTAACGAGGAGGCTGTAATATGTGGCCGGCTGCAACGTGGCGCCTCAAATGAGTGGATAATGTTAACGAGAGCGCTGCTCTGTGATCGACTGCCAAAACGCTGCAGAGACGAGCTCGCTGCACAGCCGGGAGGTTTAATTGGTAATTACAGGGATGTGAAGCGCTGCCGGTCCTTTCTAGAAAGTCTGCGACAAAACGCATCCTGGAAGTTTCAAACTCGGGTTTCTACGTTTGACAGTTTTCCCTTCTTGTTCTGTTTTCATCCCATCGGCCACTTCCTGACTTCGTCTCCCTTAAATTACACGAGAATCTTTTGTGTGTATATTTTGTTTGATTGGACCTGAAGTCTGAACTACACGTGAACATTTCCTGTAAATCTTTGCTGTCAAACTCTGTGTATGGTGTAGACAAAGAAATGTATGATTTTAGTTCTTTGTGTCACAGCTTTGTGTTATCAGCTGTGTTTAGAGTCATTTTAATAACATTCTAAATAATATTGAACAAATCTGAGCACTGTTGGACAAGTTTTTGTCATTTTTTAATTATTTTGACCACATTTTGTACCATTCTTGTAGTTTTGCGTCATCCTGGATCAATTTTTGGATAATTTTGGAAACATTTTGAATCACGTTTCACATTTTATTTATTTGTTGTTGTCATTTTGAACAGTTTCTGAGAACTTTGAGGAAAGTTGATGTTTTTTGTCTAGATTTTTTTGTAATTTTGCCACATTTTCTCGACATGGACCTTTTTTTTTTGCACAAGTCTAGATTCATTTTGGACACTTTCTGTGTCATTTTGGGCACGTCTGAGCCATTGTGGACTGTTTTTGATTGATTTTGGGCAGTTTCTGAGTCATTTTAGGTGAGTTTGAGTTATATTTTATCCATTTTGGACACATTCTGAGTCATCTTGGGCAATTTTTGAATCATTCTGAACAATTATAGAGTAAAATCATTAGTTGTAGCTGGATTCCTCCCAGACTCAACAGACTTGTTGCCGCAACAGTTTTCCTTATCAGTCGGCAGCGAGTCCAGGAACACCACCAGCTTCCAAAGGGATGCTGTTTTTCAGTACGCCCTGCTGTCTTTTTGCCTCCAAGTCAGACTAGGTTAGAGAGCAAGCATCCCCAGATGGAGATCACTAGTGCAGGTCGCAAATTGTTTGTTCTAGGCAACTAATTTGCATATTTAACTTCAGTCAGACTGGTGAACAATGTTTAAAATGATCCACAGTTAGTTCGCTGATCATCTACACTACAGGTGCCACACCGAAACATTCACATAGTTTGAATAGCATCAGGCAGCCGCCACCAGAACTTAAGAGTCAATGTTCTGTCAGACGTAAGACACTTCAAAAGACAAAAGCATCTGAAATCTGCGAACGTCACAGCGTCTTAGCGTTTGGGTCATTTTAGGACTCATCACTGTCGCCTGCGTTCTTTGGTTGGATCTCTTGCTGTGCACAAAGCGACTCGTTTCATCTTAAGATCTGCTTGTGGCTCGTAACGAGCTCCGTTTCTGATTCAACAGGACTGAAGTCAAGAAAAAGGCTTTCCCTTCCCTTATTTCATAATTATTTGTTTTGTGCCAGTGTGACCGTGCTTCACTTTGTCTGTCGGTGCTGCTGCGTAGGTCTCTCCCCGCTTAAACAAAGCAAACTGATATGTTGTTGAAGTTTCTCTCGGGGTTTGAGTCATTATTCAGGAACAGGATTTGTCGGCGAGACGCGACAGAACTACTCAGTGTGTTGCAGAGAATCCAGAAGAATACTTTTGGGTATTTCCACCATGAACATTGTGTAGGTCAGCCATGTGCTACCAGAGCAGATCCTACCTGTTGAAGCATGGACGCTGGGATTCTGGGGATGTCCTTTCATACGTGGCAGCGGATTCTTTTGGTGAATCCACAACACCGTGGACACTCGACCAGAATGGGAGTTTTCAAGCCGACTCGTCACCTCTGGCTCTTTGTCCTGTTCCTCCAGCTTTTCCCTGAGAGGTTGCCGCACATGTTTACACGATGGACTCTGAATCAGAGCTGTCCAACAGCTTCCAGGCTTTCTGCTTCCGCTGGGTCGAGGGATCCGCTTTGACGTCAACTCCGTAGTCAATGGAAGGAGCGCCACTTCTATGGAAACAGACCAGTGTAAAGGTTTGTTATTCTTATTATAGACTACATGATGAATTTTATGTTGTCAATGGCGATGTTAGTGACACGAAGAAAGACACGCGACAACGACATCGAGAGAGCAAAGAAAAACCTGTTGCTTTTCGTCTTCTCTGAGTTCAGTAGGGTTGCAGTTTCTCAGGTTTGTTTTTTAGAAGTTCGAGGGGAGGTGAGAGAGTTCATGGCAGCAGCCCATGAATTGTGCTTTTACTGTTCAATGTCGTCTCCATTTACTGCTATGCACTGAGCCCACGTTTCCTTCACACTGTGTCTACCTTTAAAAGACAAGTCTTCAGTTTGGTCCTTGAGCCTCTGCGGCAGCCTTGAGCTCATCCCTGGACTGTAGGGTGGAGGCAGGACTGTTATCACCGGATACCTCAGCCAGCCTTTTGAGAGGAACTTTATTACTGCCCTAAACTCAAAATGCCCTTCAGAAGCTTGCAGAGGCACTTCTGGTGGTCGGAACACATACAAGGGTTCAGACCCCCCTAAAACGAACCACAAATCCCTGAAGGCGTCAAACTGCCTAGCTTAGCTGCCTAGCTTAATGCCCGTATGTTTGAAAGGCAGAGCGTTGCATTGTGACGACATCCTTTCGTGCGTTTTCGGTTTCTGTGACAGCAGGTTATTCCAGATGTCGCTCTCCTCAGTGGTGTTTTCCAGCGATCCCAGGCCAGATGAGATGTAAAATCCTTCTGGTGAGTTCTGGTTTCGCCCCTGCTCAGGGAACCACCTCAGACGGATCCTTTTGAGATGAAGGACCAGTGACTCTGTCTCTAAGAACATCGCAAGAGCTCACGAGGGTTTACTCGACATACATTCTGTCATTTTAAGTCTGCGCAGACTTTGACTACGCTGCTGTTTTAAACTGTCCGAGGCTCCACCTGGTGGTGCAACCAGGTACTGCAGCTCATCCACATTACGTGAAATATTTATGATCCAGTAAATGTTGATGTCACAGCAAATACTAAATATCAAATGACTGGGACATCGTTGTTACAGAACGAGCTTGACTCCCAGTTCAAGCTTTGTGTTTTTACTCATTAACATCAGTGAGATTCTGAATATTAAATGAACGCATGTCAGTCATTTATTTTGTCTTTTTCTGCCCTCTAGTGGACAAAAATGTCAACGCACTGTTTTATTTTCTGTTACAACCGCACTAATTACTAGCCTGGTATGTGCTGCTACAGAAGCCGACAAGACACACACACACACACACACACACACACACACACACACACACCAGCGCAATTAAAACATAACCTCCTCCAACATTTTTCACCCCTGAAGGCATCAAACTGCAAACCAAGCGAGCTGCACAACGGCTGCCCCTTCCTTGTGTTTGCAGAACTTTATTGGCATTTTTACAAATAGGGCAATTACCGACATGCCACGGGCCTCTGAGCCGTTTTTATTGAAGCGCTCGCTGTGTGTGCCACGGGGGTGAGGTGGGGGAGGAGGGGGTGAGAAAAAGGAAAAGTGAGATAAATGGTGGCAGTGGTGGAGGGGGGAGTTTTCGTTTGGCGAGGCTCGGGGACTGAACCTCAGCAAAGGCTTGCTGCCGTGGAAACGGGGTAAAAGAAAGGGGTGAGGAGAGGGTGAAGGGGAGGAGAGAGGGGGAGGCGCCCTCCTCCCACCACACACTGACGTCACATTAACTCACATCCAGTTTATGCAGGTTTAACCTTTAACCAAGTCCTCCTGAGTGAGGATCAGAACTCCAATATGACTTTGCAAACAGAGGCATGTCCTCACAAGATGAGTAGTACATGCATGCACACACACACACACACACACACACACACATTAATTTACATTCAATTTCTGAAGTTTCAATCTTTAATCGAGTCCTCTTAAGTGAGGATTATCCCCAAAATATTACTTTTGAAACAGCGCTATGTCCTCACAACATTAGCAGCAAATGCACACACACAAACATCCACACACACACACACACACACACACACACACACACTGACGTCACATTAACTAACATTAATTTTCTGCAAATTTAACCTTTAACCAAGTCCTCCCGAGTGAGGACTGTAACCATGACCGTAGAAAGATAGTTGTGTCCTCACAACATTAGTAATGTACTGACAAACACACTCACAATGAAACACACACACACACACACACACACACACACACACACACACACACACAGAGTTGGTAGGAAAGTAAAGAAAAGGGAAGCCGACTGAAGGGAGGAAGGAAAAGGAATGAGGCTGAACGAACAAGCCTGAGCGCGACACACACACTCTGCCTCACACACACACATTTCCCACACACACACACACACTCGGCGTTCGGTTCAGCGTGAAGCTTCAGTCGTGCAGACAGCGAAGCAGCAGCAGCAGCAGCAGCAGAAAGCAGAGCCGAGGAGACACCAGACGGTTGCTGCAGCCGCCTGCCAGTCCAGACTCGGGGTTCAGAGGACGGGATGAAGCTCGGAGCTGCTGGTGGGTGGAAAAGTCCTCCGGTTCCTCCCAGAGGCATCTCTGTGGACTGAGACCTGCTCCTCCAGCTGCTGTCGGAGTCCCACCTGAAGAACAACGAGATGATTCATCGTGGGAAAGCGCTTCTTTTGGGGGATTCTGTGGAATGAGTCGAGCAGGAGCTGAAGGCTGATCCTGGATCCACAGGTCGCGACTCCTCGTCGTTCTCGTTGGATTCTGGATTTCCCAGAGGCAGACGTCGAATCACGTGGAGAAAACATTCCTGGTGATCTGCGGGGTTTTGCTTCTGCTCGGATCCGTTTGATTTTGCACAGCAACAAGTTCTCCAGCTCAGAGTCACTAAACGGTGAGTGGGGCAGTTTTTCTTTGCGTCTCAGAGCCTGAGCGAGCTTCTTACTTCAGCTTACGGTCTTGAGCGTGAGCAGGAGTTCCATGTTTTGGCTGCTGAGGAGGTAAACGTGCACTTTAGGTGTTGTGATGAACCACTGACAGACCTGCAGACGCCTGAGCTTCGCTGAGGAACTTTTCCGGTAACCCAGAATAGCAGTTTAACCCTTCGAGGAGCCGTGCAGTAAATGTGAGGCGGTGAAAAGATAAAGCTGCAGGACCTGGACAGCTTGTCTGGGATTTCACTGACACCTGTCGCATCCCAGCGACTGACAGCAGCCACGGCGTGGTTCGAGGGCTTCACATCTTCTTTGTCAAAGTAAAACCAGTTAAACCTCTGAAGTCCAAACACTTTGCAGGTGTGTTTTAGAATTTCAAATTTTTACACACACAGAAGACACAAAGCATAAGAAAGGTTCAATCACTTATTATCCAAAATTTAAAAAAAAAAATCTAATTGTACATGATCTGCTCACTATTTGTGCAATTTTTATGCATCATTTTTGCAACCACAGACTCTCTGCTCATCAGATGTAGAAAGATGTTCCACCAT